CTTTTCCACCGCAAGACCACCGCACTCGTCGCCACCATTCTGGGGTGGTGGGTTGGTACATTTTCTTGTCCTTGAYGTCCCTCCACGTAGACAGTAACGTGATTCCGTGCACCTTGACCATGTCGTCCACACAGTCCAGCCACCATCAACTGCACCTGTGAGAATAATACATTATGTTGTTAGCAGAAACAGTCACCGCAGGGAAAAAAGTTATATGATAAGACTTACTTCAGAAAGACTAGAAGACAATTGGCTTTTTGCGTTTAACGGTCACTTGGTACTAAATCCGCCGCCCTTCTGGAGGGCAAAATTCCCACTGGGATGTTCAAAACAAAGAAAAGTCAAGCTCGACGGCTACGTTCCTTTTCTTTTTGAGTTTTTAATTTGTTTTTCTTTTGCCTTCCAGAATGGCGGATTAAGTACGTTTCATACAAAAGATCTATTGTCTTCTAGTCTTTCTGAAGTAAGTGATAGTAAATAATCTACAATGAAGAGACGAATGAAGAAAAAATAAAGATAGACGCGTCCATGAAAAAGCTGTGACACTCMTGTATAAGGATATGGGCGGTCCTATAAAGGGTTAGCCAGTGCTTACTGCATATCCAGTGRGCCCTACCTGGACAATCCTCAACTTTACAGCTGCTCATCTGGTTGTAATCTCCTGTGCAGTTTTTTCCGTCGTGGATTGGTTTTGGGTTTGTGCACTGTCGAGTACGTCTTTTCGTCCCTGTCCCACACGTCTGTGAACACCGTGACCAAGCACTCCATAACGTAAATCCACCACTGACTGAAAATATAATACAGTTTTATGAAGATAATATTATCACTACCGGAAATAAAGCATGGAATAGTCCCGTTAACGGTTACCTGCGCCATCTTGAAAGGAAGCGAGACAACCGTTGAGCGTGCAATGATAGATACCTGTGAATAATTGTCTGTAGGTGTGAAAGAAGGTTTCTACCATTGCRCGCTCAACGGTCGTCTCGCTTCGATGCAAAGGCATGGCTACCTTTCAAGATGGCGCAGGGAACCGTGAAKAAGACTATTCATATAGCAATCAGTATACCACAATTCGCCCCGTTTAGTAAATTACCATAAACCGAATGCTTTGTTTACTCTTATTTGGCAACCACGAACAGAGCACTTCGAGACAACGCACCAACTCACCCCCGACATGACTTGGTTCCTTATCTTACACATCGGTGTACCGCTGACCACGTTAGTGGACAACATGCTTTTCTATGTTGTCCATATCTCATTCGTTGTATTTTCATGTGTARTTGGGGTGGGAAGTGGAAATATAGTACAATGGTATTACAGATCAAAATAAATTACCTGGACAGGGATTGAAACAGGATCGAAGAGCTTCCGTAGCTTTACCAGAACAAGGCTTCCCACCACTCATTGCGGGTGGATTGTTACACTGCCGCTTACGCGAAATCATCGCACCGCCAGATATACCACATTCACGTGGACACGATGACCATTTGGACCACTCACTCCATTGGCCATCAACAGGATAAGCTGGTCAAAAAAATATATTCAGTAACTACTATTAACTATTATCAACTATTATCAACTGTTATCAATTATTATCAACTATCATTAAGTATTATCAACTATTATTAACTATTATTAACTATTATCAACTAGTAAAAACTATTATCAACTATTATTAACTATTATTAACTATTATTAGCTATTATTAACTATTATCAACTATTATCAACTATTATTAACTATTATTAACTATTATTAACTATTATTAACTATTAACGACTATTATCGACTATTATCAACTAGTATTAACTAGTATTAACTAGTATTAAGTATTATCTATTGTAGTGCATCCTTTTCATTTCATTTTTAATTTGATTCCCTTTTGCTTTCATGTCTCCTGGGTTTTGGGCCTGCATGTAAGTTCCTTTTATAAGCTTGCATGCAGATTGCCTCATTAAAATGAATCAAGAAATAAAATATTCTGTTATGTTTTCAAGAAATACTTACATGGGCAGGGCCATATGCATTCCAGTTTCTTCTGTAGAAGCTCGCCGCTGCAGTTTTTCCCGTCTGGGGTGGGGGTAGGGTTACTACATGATCGACTGCGATTGACGTAGGAACCCCCACACGGGTTATCGCATTGAGACCACTGAGACCACTCGCTCCATCCTCCATCGACTGCAAAACGAGAAAATAAAATCGTTACTTTTTAAAAAAGGGAAATTTATTGCTTTCCTTCCAAAAACAAACAAAGTCAAACACGCAAACAAYAACAACCACAACAAAATAAAATAAGGACTTACTCATGCAGTCCTTTTGCTCAGCGTTATCTCCAACACAATATGCGCCGTCATCGCTAGGGATTGGGTTTGAACACGTGCGGGTTCTGATTCGCTGATTTCCTGAACAGACTCCTGGGGCACAACCACTCCAGTCTGACCATCTAGACCAGCCTCCATTAGCTGAAATATCATAAATATTTGAGTTGTAAGCTGAAAAAGGCACTATAAAACAGTTATTGAGTATTTGTGAGGTAGTTATGTAATGCACGGGATCCCTGTGAGAAATAAAAAAATTGATATTACACGAGACTTGATTATATATTTATTTAGTCCTCCATTATACTATTTCATGTATTTTTCTTCCTTCTTTTTGAAATCGTTTTTTTTTTAGTAGTTCATTTATCAATTCATTCAATCATTAAGGTTTTCACTTCTTTGTCTAATGAAAAACGATATGGAATGATTGGATAACTCTGTCGATGTGGATCAAGGTACGATATAATAATAAATAAAAAAAGAATGAAAAACTAAACAAACATAAACAGATGAAAGAAAAAAGAAGAAAAATTAAGGAGTGAATCTTTAAGAATTGAATGAATTGAAAAATGAACTAAAAAATGAAAGGAAGRAAAACAGTATAAATGGATTAAAAAAGAAGGAAGAAAAATACATAAAATAGAAATGGGCTACTGAAAAATGTCTTTATACTTAAACTGTAAAGAAAWATGATTTTTTTTATTTTATATACTAAAACTCTTTACTAACTGTAATGATCCATATTTACATCTAATAATTATAACATTAAATATAGTATACAAATCACTTACTTCGAGATTCTGAAGAATGAAGGACAATTCCTAAAACTGCCACCAAAAGCGCRGCTTTCATTATAAAAAAATATATACCAAGACTTGACTACTTTTCGTRCTTTTKGTCAGTTCGCATTTGCTCTGCCACGGTGTATAATTCCACACGAAGAGACAAGGTATATGGTTGGGTCAACGCCTTCGAGCACAGTTCAGTTATTTGATTATTTAGCTGTGCAAACCAAGCTGGCGAATATGTGCTCAGCTTTGATGGCTTAAAGACGAGTGAGTCAATGATTTTGTGGTTTTTATTGGCATTAATTAAGTCGATTATGAACTTATCCAAAAAACTGACATCTATAGCATAAAATTATAAAAAAAATAATTATATATTTTTTGCATTACTTATAATAACCGCTACCCAACTTCTAAAATTTAAAAAATTTGTATTAAATAAAGAGTAGTAKATTAGGAAGCAAATCTTAAGCAAAAAAAAACAATCAAGAAAAATTGTAAACAAGAAAAACGACTTGACGTGAATGCACTGATTGTCATAATTAACATAAATTAACGAAGAYTACCCAAAATACTTTGCGYTATGGTGTAAAGAAAAAAAATGAAGAAAGAAAAAAAGGAATAGGAAAGAAAAGGGAATGGAGAAAGAAGAGAAGATGGATTGTGTGAATTTTTATCTTTAATTTTGATCTCAAAAATAAAATAAAMGAATTACTGATTTTAACAAGAAATAATAAGAATCATAACAAAAAAAAACGCAGATTACATTGCTCTCTAAATGATAAATTTCAGGGGAGATCTCATTGCATTTTCTTATTTTGTTATTTCGGCTTTAAGTATAAAACATGACCTTGGGATTTTATTTCATCCCATTGAAACATGCTGTATATACCAACCCTTGCAGTATTTGTCATGATCCTTCGGGTTGGTTGAGTAGTCTCACTGTAACATAATAATATCTAGTGATCCTGAGAACCAATGCATGCTTGACTTTATTGTGCAAATACATTATTTATCCAACTGACTTCATAAATATCTTACTGTAATTACATTTTACCATATCAGTCAATATTTGCCGACGTATATGTTGTATGACTACATTATGACGTCATTGAAAAAAAAATGTATGCTTACAATAAACCCTTTTAGCAATCTCTTTTATTCTATGTTAGCCTCAAAACCATATATTGTTTTATTCAGTAACAGCCGGTGAAAATGCAAGAGAGATTTGTCAGTATAGAAGACACAATGAAAATAATTTGATCTCAATTATAATTTCTGCATATTTTACACAGTTAAGGCTATCACCAGGGTCCACCAGGGTAGTAATGAGGTATGTAATTTTCCCGATCTCAGGRCAAAACGTCTGATACTTGATCACTGCAAAAATAGGAAAATTTTGATCCCTTGTCTCTGTTTGCCAATCGCTGCCAATTGCCCGTTCCGAAATTCAAAAAGGGACTGGTGACTAGTCACAAACTCGATACCGTTTAAAGCAATCAAAAAACAGACAACAGGAAAAGAAAGAGCATACTAAAATTAGTAAAGATACTGAGTTTGAGAGTATTCGGATAAATAATTACAGAGTTTCAAACGTTTAAAACTCGAAAAAATTACAAAGAATGTATGGAGGTTTTGAGCAGTGTCCCCAAAAACCATACATTCTCTCCTACTTTTACAAATTTGAAAAAATTCCTACTCGGTGAGTATTCAACCAAATATGCTCAAACTTGACAAGAACACATATCTTAGTGTGGTCTTTCATGTGATGAGGTTCAATTTTCGATGAATGTAATATTTTCACACTCGTTCTCAATCTCCTTTTGAATTTCGGAATGGCAATAACATTTGAGATCCTGATTCCTTGAATCGATCCCGATTTCAAATCCAAACGTCTGATTCTTGCCAAAAAAAATAAATAAATGTGATCCTTGTGCTCCAAAACAACAATGACCACTGATATAAATACCTCGCATACTAGCCTGTAACAGGAGGAGCCGACGGGTCTGTTTTTTTAGATAACTGTTCTTGTACGAATATTTCCTATGGAAAGGGATTTTAAGCTACAATCTCACAAGAAAATGTGGTGCCCTTTTTTCTTCAAAAAACTTTTGTTTCTGGCAAACGTTTTTAGGGTCAAAAAAAGCTTATAACGTTTTTATGGTCAAAAACGKTTTTTTTAGTGAGAAAATCTTTATTTCCTGGCAAAAATTCTTGGAAAGTATTCCTTGCCTGGAGAGTTCTTTTTTACTGAATTTCTCGCTGCCAACCAGTTGTGACYTACAGCTGGCTGGGACATAAGAACAGATATATTTCTCCCAGGAAYCCGACGGCTCCTCCTACTGTAACACAGCGTAAAAGATCACATCGCAAAATTCGAATATGAGACCACGAGACCGAGCTGTGTTCTAATTATTTTTAGTATCGACAAAAAAGGATTTCCAAAACAGCATTGGTCTGGGGTGTTTTCAATTTTTCAATTTTAAAATATTTCTTTTCTCCTTACCACCACTGTGTGGTAGACTGGGGTGTTGCAGTGTATTTTGATTATTTCTCTTCTCCTAAACAACACTGTGGGGTAGACTGGGGTGTTGCAGTGTATTTTGATTATTTCTCTTCTCCTAACCACCACTGTGTGGTAGACTGGGGTGTTGCAGTGTATTTTGATTATTTCTCTTCTCCTAACTACCACTGTGTGGTAGACTGGAGTGTTGCAGTGTATTTTGATTATTTCTCTTCTCCTAACCACCACTGTGTGGTAGACTGGGGTGTTGCAGTGTATTTTGATTATTTCTCTTCTCCTAACCACCACTGTGTGATAGACTGGAGTGTTGCAGTGTATTTTGATTATTTCTTTTCTCCTAACCATCACTGTGTGGTAGACTGGGGTGTTGCAGTGTTATTTATTTTTTCTCTCAACCACCACTGTGTGGTAGACTGGGGTGTTGCAGTATATTTTGATTATTTCTCTTCTCCTAACCACCACTGTCTGGTAGACTGGCGTGTTGCAGTGTATTTTGATTTTTTCTTGTGTCTTAACCACCACTGTATGGTAGACTGGGGTGTTGCAGTGTATTTCGATTATTTCTTGTGTCTTAACCACCACTGTGTGGTAGACTGGGGTGTTGCAGTGTATTTCGATTATTTCTCTTCTCCTAACCACCACTGTGTGGTAGATTGGGGTGTTGCAGTGTATTTTGATTATTTCTCTTCTCCTAACCACCACTGTGTGGTAGACTGGGGTGTTGCAGTGTATTTTGATTATTTCTCTTCTCCTAACCACCACTGTGTGGTAGACTGGGGTGTTGCAGTGTATTTTGATTATTTCTCTTCTCCTAACCACCACTGTGTGGTAGACTGGGGTGTTGCAGTGTTTTTAGATTATT